ATGAATTTTTTTGGATATGTTTTTAAGGGCCACATAAAAATAGATTCAAGGAACAGATTAAATTGAAGTCCTAAATTAAAATGTTTGGTTTAAAGAATTTTCTACAACAAATTTCATGTTTATGTATGAAAAGTTATAGAACCTTATATGAAAATGTCATGAATTATTTTCTACACTATACTAAATGTATTCCCCAAGAGGGAATAAATTAAAATATCTAAAATATATTAGATTAAGATTACAAGACCATCATAGATCTTTTAAACATGCATCTGTTTACAGAATTAACCGTATACAAAATGTTTTTTTTTTTCATTTTGGACCCACAAAGAAACGAGTTGGTGTCAAGTATCCTCTGCACAACATTATCAACTAACGTTAGCCACAAGCTTGTCCCTGGTATGTGTGTAAAAGAAATAGGTTCATTCATCCTTCATCAAATCATCCAAAGGTTTACCTAGATGAAGGTGCAGAAATGTGAAATATGTTAAGTGTATTTTTTCTTTCTTTCAAACAACATCCTAAGCATGGCCTAAGTAGCCTGAAATTATAAAATACTTCACTGGGCTTTTAGTTATCTACAGAGACTGCTAGAATGTAAATTAAGTTGCCCAAATTAGCACATCAAATAACAAAACCAGCCATAAAGCAGGCTGAAAAGGATTAAATGTTTCATATATGAGTTTTTAAATCATTTAATTTCTATAGAAAAATTTTATTCACAATATAATGTGACAGAAATTGCCACAGGAATGATATACTGATTGCAATTGTTCTTCTTTAATATGCAGCAAAGGCCCTCAGTTTATAACTCTCTAGGAATTCTAAGAAACTGAACAGATTTCTTCACATAGAAAACAGGAACACCGCTGGCCTGCTGCATTACTTCCTCACTTTATTCTTATACTAAGCAGGCAAGGGACTTATGAAAAGGAAGCAACAGTAGTGGTTCTGTTATTCCTCCTTACCAGTCTGCTATATACATTCAAAACTACTGGGTTGGAAACCAAGATTACTGTAGGGAGCACTGACTCTACTTACTCAGAACTTGCTTAAGCAAACCAAATAATTTCCCTGAGATTTTCTGTGGGTTTTTTAATTGTTCTGGTGAAAAGATGATAATATGCCTGCTCCAGTTACCTCAGATTACATTAAGTGCAAAATGAAATTATGTATGTGAGGATTTTGTGAATGATTAAATTCCATCCAAATTAAGCTATTTCATGAGATAAAGTACTCATATGACTTTATATTAGCCTATGCAAACAGAGGCAAAATATAGACCCCCGAGAGGCACTCCAAATTTACTCTCATACAATCTACAGAGGTGGGGAACAGCCTTCTGTATTTTTAATAAGGACACCATAGTTTCAGAAATACTATTAATACCACACAATTCTCATTTCTAGTTGCATCCTTTCTTTTCGTGTCAATAGGAGTTTAACTTCTAGGCATCATCAAATTTTCTAATCACCCTAAAGTCATTTACTGAAAGAGACAGAAGTTGTTGACACAAAACAATAAATCTTTAGGTTCTTAACTGCAATTGTTTGAGGACTGTTTCAACTAAAGAAAAGATTGTTCAGCAACACACTGGATTACAAATACATAGAGAAATAAGAATAATTAATCAACAAAATACTGCAACTCCTGGAGAATTATTAAAACTTATCACATTAGCTTTGTTCATGCCAAAGGTTAACATTCGATAGTTCTCAGTTAAGATACTGCATTGGTTTTTTTACATCTCAATTATTTCAACCAAAATTCACAGATCTTAAAACATAATCCTTCTAAGTATCCATGGGTGAAATTTACTGCATCTGAGTCTATCAATATATGACTGGTACTTCTTTAGTTAAATCTTTTTTTTTCTTTTAAAGATGTATTTATTTATTTGAAAGAATTACACAGAGAGAAGGAGAGGCAGAGAGAGAGAGAGAGAGACAGAGAGAGAAAGGTCTTCCACCCGCTAATTCATTTCCCAACTGGACACAATGGCTGGAGCTGCCCTGATCTGAAACCAGGAACCAGGAGCTTCTTCCATGTCTCCCATGTGAGTGGAGGGGCCCAAGGACTTGGGATCACCTTCCACTGCTTTCCCAGGTCATAGCAGAGAGCTGGATTGGAGTGCAGCAGCCGGGACTCGAACCGGCGCCCGTAGAGGATGCTGGCACTGCTGGCGGCAGCTTTATCCGCTATGCCGCAGCATCGGCTCCTTTTGTTAAATCTTTATATAAACAGTTAAAAGGTCCCAAAAGAACTTTTTGGAAAATTCTACAGCTATGGTCGCTATCATTGTTGCCCTATTCCAAGAGTGAAAGAAGAAAACTGTAGGTGCCTGTTTAGATGACACAGGGTAGAAAGTGTTGGTAAATCTTGTAGGGAGGAAGGAACAAAGAGAGGGTCCATGATAAGCCAAAACAATAAGGAATATGAATAAACATAAACAATGAATGAATAAACTATATCTGCAGAGATAGTAAAATCATTACTTTTAAGAAAGCAGGCTTCTGGGGCCGGCATTGTGGTTCAGTGGGCTAATCTATCCCATATCAGAGCACCAAACCAAGTCCCAGCAGCTCCACTTCTGAACCAGCTCTCCACTTATGTGCCTGAGAAGGCATAAGAACAGTGTTTGGGTCCCTAACACTCATGTGGGAGAAAGGATGGAGTTCCTGACTCCTGGAAAAGACTGGCCCAGACCCGCCTGCTGCAGCCACTTGGGGAATGAGTCAGCAGATAAAAGATTATATTCATATTCTCTCTCAATCTCTCTCTCTTTCTCTCTCACTACCTCAGTGTTGTGTTGCATTTCAAACAATTCTCTTAGAAAAGAAGGCTTTTTAAGAGCTAACATTAATTATTAATTAGATAAAGTATGCATATCCAGATGTCACCCTAAATGGTTAGGGACTAAAAGAAGTTCTCGGTGTTAAGTGTGTAATCAGAGTATGTGTTAAACTAAGAGTAATATGCTCTTATATGGGCTATACTGAGCTAGGAACAAAGCAAGTATCATGAGGAGAACAGATCAATTACAATGTACTATTTATGCAGTGGAATACTATACAGCAATGAAAACGAATGAACCATAGCTACAGCCAATAACTCGGATGAGAAAAATTGGGAGTTACGACAGCAAGTCACAAAAAAAGAAAAGCAGCATGCTTTCATTTACACAGAGTTAAAAAAATGCAACAATAAATAAATAATATACTGTTTAAGGATGCAAACACTATGGTAAAGATAAAACCAGGGCAGTAATACATAAATGTAACAAAGAAGCTGCCTATAAAGAGGGAAGGAATATGACTGCAAAGGAAATGATAATTATTTTTCTTAATATCGGGTGGTAGGTCACAAGCACGTAACGGCTGTATTGCTTTGGTTTACTTTGTCCACGGTTTCCAAATATTATTTATAGGTATTCAATATTTACTAAAAACAACTAAAATTTTATATTCCTTCTATATTTTGTCTGTAAAAGTGTTATGATTTTAGCACACTTCAATTTCTCTTCAGCTGTAACTGAATATACCTCTACATGTACTTTGAGTACATCTGTTATCGTCCCTAAGAGAAAAGTCGTAAATCCAGCTTCAAAAACTCAAATATTCCAGAAAAACCATGAGGGCGATTTTTGGAGTCAAAGGCTGATAAAATGGATATATTATTTCTTAATCTTCTAAGTGGGCATTATAGGTTACTGTTCTTTAACTTCAGATGAACATCAACAACAAGCACCCTAATAGAAAAGTACCTCCAGATCTTAATTTTAGTAAGAAAACAAATCCTATCCTGAAGCTCTCCATAAAGTCCACAGTGTGCAAAAAACATTTTAAAACACTTTTTAAAAAGCATTATTGTTTAAAGTTACCTACTATATGTAACTCGAAGGACTCAATCTTGATATGAAACACCGAAATGCTAACTTTAGCAGCAGTAGTCTGTATGTGCATTTACCAAAAAAAAAAAAAAGAGCTATGTTTAAAAAGACAGCATCTAGGATACAGTTCTTCTTAAAGATACCTTTAAATGCAAAGCAAAGTTCTTGGACAGTAAAATACAATTGTGTACCCCGTATGGAAACTGATTTCCCAATGATGAAATCTGCTAAATTATGTCTGGTTTCATAAAGTTTTATATCTCAGCTATAAAGTGAGATGAAGATAAAAGCGATCTTAAAAAAAAAAAAAAAAAAGTTTTACCTCTGGGCATGATATGCCGATTGTACTTCCCCAGAGCCGGGAATTCAAAAAGCTTGGTTTCACCAGCATTGAGTGTTTATTAAATTAGGTGACACTCTGAAATCGATCACCAATCTTTATCACAAAAGAGTAAACCTTAGCTTTTAGAACCACGTTTGGTTGCAAAGGAAACAATCCCAGAGAGTAAAATAAATTAATAAATAAATAAATAAATAAAGCAGCTTATCCAATTGTATACGCACTTCTCCCACACGCCGAACTTTTTAAGATGAATTGTAAAGCCGAACACCTTATATTCTTCCAGCAGCGAATAATTACAGCGAGTGTTCTTCCAAGATAAGATCAGGTCTCCCGTAAAATTTCCGATAGTTTTAAACTGAAAAGCTACGACACCGCGGCCGAAGGTGCCTTTCGTATCCCTATATCCTGAGATTGCATCTAGTACATATCCTTTGTCACATATAAAATATACCTCACATATAACATGCTAACCGCTATCTAGTGTTTCCATTAACACTCGCGCCATTAGAGATGTTTCACAGAAATTTTTGCCTTGCATCATCTTTTGTAAAATCAGTAAGAAACCTCATAGTCAAAATACGTATTTCGCATCCACAGGACGGCCAGCCTTCCCATTTTTGTCTTCCCCCTCTAGCCTAACACTTTCAGGCGCATGATGTTAACACCTCAGCTGAACGCCCGCCGCTACTCCAATTACCCACCGCGCTACACGCTTCCGCCCTTACACGATTATAATGATCTCCAAAAGGTATTTTAAAAGTCCTATACCTTTTTCCTTCAGCCGTTATGACTTAAACGTTGAGAACTGAGGGTCAGGGATAAGGCGAAATCTCAGGAAGAGGAAAGGCGGAAGGTGGAAAGGAGTCCTGAGGCCTAAAGAAAGAACTAGAAGCTTAGGGCGCCAACGGAAACCCTCATGCTCTCTTTAGATTAACTTTGCGCGCGAAAACAGCTTCCAGAGAGAGACAGAGGGTGGGACCTCTTGCTCTCAAGCGCTGCAACGCCCCCAGGCGACGGGCGCCCAACCTAACCGACGCTGCTCAACGCCGCCATTGTGGCGTAGCCCAAGCCCCGCCCCTCGCCGCGTGCACACGGCTCTGCCCCTTGCGGACCAGGAGCAGAAACAGGAAGTGAGACGGCAACCCGAGGAGCTTGGGCACTGGGCGGTCTGGACCAGGCCGGGGCTCTTAGCCATTGCTCTGGGCAGTCTCCTGCTGCGGAAAGCTGCGGGACTGTGTTGAATATGGAGAGTATCCTTTGCCGTCCGAAAAACTGCGGCTGGGGCCTAGGGAACGGCAGAAGGGCTGGGGTTCCGGCGGGGGGCGCCTGGTGGTGACCATTTCTGTCCAGTTGAAGAGTAAGGGCGCTGGCGCCGATTGGTAGGCGCCAACAGTTTCTGTTTTTGTTTTCTGGGAGCTGCTGGCATCCTGCAATCTGGGGAGGTGCACTATTTGAGGATGCATCAGGAAAGCCTCTGAACTGGTTTTGGGAGATGATTGAGCTAGAACCCTACTTATTGAAAGCTGTCCACCGTCCTTTCGGTGAATTTGCCTTCTTCCTGGGAAATTAGTGAGAAGTGCCGCGAGAAGAGAGGCAGCAGGGACTTGCTAAAGGTTTGGGGCGGCGGTGTAGGTTCCCGAATGGAATATGAGGGTAAACAGCTTCTGTCTTACTGCCTTTCTCCCTTTGTTAGGAGGGAAGTGACTGGTAGTGAGGCAAAGCGCTTACTGTCATCTGGCCCTTTAAGCTAAGAAAATGCTTGCTTGTTGGTAACAGTGCTTGTTGACTTAACATCTGGAGAAACTCATACAGTTCCCTAGAGCTTTAAGAGCCAACAATTGCACCTGCGTCCCCATTTAAGCATTGTGAGGGGGCTTAGAACCCAGCTGCATCAAGCGCTGACTTGGAGAAGGATGCGATTGTTTTTCACTGTCGCTGTAATTCCTTCTTCTTCCAGGAGTTGGCATTACAGAAAATAGAGCAGCTTGTTAGCATCTTGCCACTGAATGAAACTTGGAAACATGACAAAATGTGTACAGCAGTAATTGTTTGATAGCTCATGTTAAAGCTCATTGCACTTTGTTAGTTTGTAAACCTGACGTTTACTAAGACAGTAGGTGAATGGGTTAAGGTGTAAGACAGACTCAGAATAGCGTTAATGTTGCATCATGTGCCCGACTGGCCAAAATCATCCATTAAAAAAATGTGAACCTTTGGGGCAGGGACACAGATAGGCTCTTTGCATGAACAAAGTAAATGACTCAAAGGCCCACTTATCACTGCAGTACAAGGCCTGAGAAGAAAGTACAGGTGTACAAACATCATACAGAAAAGAGCACTGAACTGTGAGTCAGGATGAATTTTTAATCCCAGTTACTCTTAAGACATCTGTGAGTTAGGGCAAATCATAATGCCTCTGCCATGAAAAGTTTACTCATCTGGGAAACACACTAACTGACCTGCAACCTTATAAGCTGTTGAGAAGACGAAATGAAAGTGCTTGCTAAATTGTAATGTTTTGAATATGCTGCTAGGAATTAGGAAGAAAAAGAGTGGGAATTGTTACCTGTTTTCCAAGAACTTTTGAACGGATTTGAAGTAATGGTTCTCAAAGTGTTGTTGTTTCCTACTGTAATGTAAGTTAGTTTTGCCCTATTTAAGCCTCCCCTATGAGAGTCCCGATAATAACAGGATAATTGGTTGCTGATTTCCACTATAAGGAGTTCCTGACTGTAGTCAGAGTTAACGGTGCTGCTTTCAATAGTTTAATACCTACTACACAGAAGTCCCCATCTTCCCCTCAGTCAGATGGAAGTCAGGAGGTTGAACTTTCTTCATACCATCTGGCTGTGATTATTTCCCTTGGTACATTTATAAAGACTGTCATGTTTCACGGGTGTAGAAAAGAAGGCAATGGCCTTTCTTCCATAAATACTTTGATCTGAAACTTGGGAATCTCTTATTTGTCACCTATATAAAGTGCAAAAATCATATTGTTATGGTATATAAGACAAAATTTCCTAGTGGTTCAGTTAGCACAGTAATTCTGACTGTGTCTTCGATAGGCAAACACACTGTGTAAAGCAGTGGCAAATCTCAATTTAAAACACTAGATGAGGGGCCAATATACTGGCACAGCTAGTTAAGCCACCACCTACAATGCTGGCATTCCCTATGGGCACCGGTTCCAGTCCCAGCAACTGCAGTTCCGATTCAGCTACCTGCTAATGCCCCTGGAAAGGTAGCAGAAGGTGACCCAAGTGCTTGGGCCCTGCACCCAGGTAGTAGTTCTGGGACCCTGGCCTCAGCTTGGGCCAGCCCAGGCTGTTTTGTCCACTTGAGGAGTGAACCAGTGGATGAAAGAAATCGCTCTCATGCTTGCTCTCGTTCTCACTCTCACTGCCTGTTGAAATAAATCTTTTTCTGAAAAACTTGATGAAATGCACAGGTTTTATTGTGACATAGTCATGTAGGTGTTTTGCAGATATGTAATTAAAGTAATATGTGACCGATATTCACACAAGGTGTTGTATTTAATTAACTATATAAAGGAAAGATGAGGGGGATGTAATTAAGGGATACTTCTCTGGCTCTTGCTGCTTTTTTGTTTGTGGGTTTTTTTGTTTGTTTGTTTTCCTTTTATAGTACACTTATGCTCTGTTCTCGTTAATTCAGTTTGTTCTTCAGACTTTGTTCAAGGATGATTCGTTTATAGGCAGCTTTCTGTCTTCCTAACCTGCTAATTTACCATCCGTGCCAAACCTAGGAATATCAGAGTTGCACTTCACATCAGTAGCTACTTGGGACTCCCTTCTCCATCTGCTTTCATGCTTGTTTTTAGTACTTTCTCCATTGTAGAATGTTGACTTACCTATCTCTTCCATTAGAGTAAAAGTACCTGGAACATGGGGTCATTACCTTTAATCTTTGGAACTTCATTTCCTTTACTGCAGTGGGGCCATGGTGGGAGAAAAGGATGCCTTTAGCTGAGCTGTTAAGATGCTGGTGTCTGACCTTGAAGTGCCTAGATTTGGTCCTGTCTCTGGTTCCTGAATCCAGCTTCCTGCAAATGTGGACCCTGGGAGGCAGAGTAAGGGCCCAAGTGATTGGGTTCCTGCCATCCACAAAGGAGACCTGGATTCACTTCCCAGTTCCTGGCTTTGGCCAGGCCCAATCCTGACATTGTGGAATGAATGAGCAGATGGGGTCTCTCTGCCTCTGAAATTTAAATTTGTCTGTCTGTATGCCTGCAAGATTTGAAAAGTAAATGTCATTGAAAGACAAAGCAGTCATATAGAGGTAATATTTTTAAAAACATGCTGGGAGGGGCCGGCACTCTGGCTCACTTGGTTAATCCTCCACCTGCGGCGCAGGCATCCCCTATGGGCATCGGGTTGCTCCTCTGCCAGTCCAGCTCTCTGCTATGGCCTGGGAAGGCAGTGGAGGATAGTGCCAAGTGCTTGGGTGCCGCACCCGTGTTGGAAACCAGGAAGAAGTACCTGGCTCCTGGCTTCGGATCAGCGCAGAGTACCGGCCATAGCGACCATTTGGGGGGTGAGCCAATGGAAGGAAGACCTTTCTCTTTGTCTCTCTAACTGTCTAACTCTGCCTGTCAAATAAAAAAACATGCTGGGAGCTACAAAAGGGAAAAACTCTGATGCCTAATGCCACTTCTTCACATGAGATGAATGGATAAATAATCCCATTACTTTTATTTTTTTCCAGGCATGTGCTGGTGCAACATTATTTTTTATCCTTCCTCTTACCTCCTTTTTTGAACCTTTACTTCTATGCATGCAGCAGATTGCATAAACCTGATCTTGGCATTTGAAATGAAATAGGATCTGCCCTACTATGTTTGGATAACTTATTTCAATGATACATTGGAACATGAGATTTCTACCATACATTTCCCTTTTTTAAAATTTATTTATTTGAATGGCAGAGTAACAGGGAGAAGGAGAGACAGTGAGAAAGAACGTGCTTCCATTTGCTGGTTCACTCCCAATATGGCTGCAAAGGCCAGGGCTCGGCCAGGCCGAAGCTAGGAGCCTTGAACTCCATCCAGGTCTCGCATGTGGGTGGCAGGGACCCAAGTACTGGGCCATCTTCTGCTGCTTTCCCCATCATATGAGCTGGGAGCTGGATTAGATGTGAACTAGCCAGAAATCAAACCAGCGCCCGTGTGAGATGCCAGCCTTGCAGGTGGCAGCCCAACCCACTGACTGTAACACAATGCCTGCTCTAGAGATTCCTTCTGTAAATTTCTATAGTAAATGACCAATGATTTTTCTGCAGGAGGAAGACTGAATTGAATTTGATCTTAAAACAAGGCTGCTTTAATATACCCAATGTGTTGATTCGTTTTTATTGAAATTTTACTGCAATAATTTAGTAATACATATATGGATGTTTTGGAAGCACTGTAAAAATACTGTCATGCGCCTGTCATCACAGTAACTGCAACTACATAGAATGTTTTAAGGAGACATTTTGACTTTTGATTTCATTTCTAACCGTATTGCCCAGTTAAGATAGGTGAATTTGCAAAGTCTTGAGGAGATAATTTTAAAGCTGTCATTTACTGAACACCTACTGTAGGGTAAACATTGTTTTGGAGATTTGTATACATTATGTCAAATCCTTAATGCAATGCTTTATGACAAGTCATATGATCTCCATTTTATGGAAGAGGAAATCAAAGCTCAGAAAGCCACAGTTTGTAAACAAAGAGTAAAAGATTTGGCTTGACTCCAAAATCTGTTCTGTTTTTACAGTGCTTCCAAAAGGTACAGCATAAGACACGTTTGACAGAGTTCTAAGTGTCTTGGAGAGCTACTTTTTCTGTGTATTGATATTCCACTTGAGATTTTGCTTTAAGAGGTGTTAGAAAAAACATGCATTTACACAATCACTTCTGGGAAGACCTAGCCTAGATTCTCCTGAAGATGTGTCTTATTCACAGACATTCCCTATTAAAAGGTACATCTATTTAGTGCAATGCTTAAAATTTATCTGCTTGACAGAGTTACAGAAAGAGAGGGCTGGGGAGAGTGAAAGAGAGAGGTCTTCCATCTACT